CCAATTCACAGTTATGAACACCCAAAACCCATTTTGGAGAAGGGGCCGATTCGCAGTCTTAACGACCCCTCTCTTTTGCAGTAAACTTTGTTTTTCGGTTTTTTGTACATCATTGAATAGATTATGTGTTGCTGATCGCGAATATAATTTCGTACTATTGTAGACTACAGTCTCACAACTTTCTTTTTCTCTTTCTCTTTGTGTATAGAAAAAGTATCTTGCTCTTCAAACTTTGTGCGCAGCAGAATTCGTCGTGGTAATGATTCAGCTGTTCATATTTGAACTGAGTAGAGTAGAAAGAGAGAGAAAGAAAATGTGCTAGAAACTTTTCCCTTTTAAACTATTAAAACCAAGCCTATCACTGATAGGCTAGAAACTTACAAAACTTGACTGAAAGTAACCTGTCTTCTATCGTAAACACATATATATAATCTAGCTGAAGAATCGTCTAGGAGTGTTCAGCGTATGTAAAAATGTCATTTTTACAACGTTAAACGTTAACGTTACAAGTGACCAACGTTAAACGTTGAAATTAACGTTAACGCTAAACGAAAATTAACGTTCACTAACGTTAAAGCTGACAGCCCTACCTGTGTTTACTTACAAGGCTTGGATGTTGTTACTGTGATCGTCGTTAGTCTCTAGTAACTAAGAAGGTGGTTGTAAAATTTCGAGCAGATATTGTTGGAGCATATACAGTACTATGTACCTAACGAAAAAAATTGTATTGAATCACGTGATAAAGTTTGGCTCTTCGACAAGTTAAGAATTCTGTATAAAAGGAAATGTAAACTATATCGAAAAAGTAAAACATTGAATTATCATTTTCAACTATACAAAACAGCTGCAGAAGAGTTTAAGACAGCTTGTATTGCCACCAAAGAAGATTACTATAAAAGGATAAATTTAAAAGTGTATGCTTCTTCAAAGAATTGATGGAGCTTATTCAAAAATACATTAGATAGGACACGTACGACCGTGATTCCAGTATTATTAAACAGTATGAATGAAATAGTGGTCGATACACGAGAAAAGATTAAAATTTTAAACGAATATTTTGCTGAAGTTTGCACGTGGACAGGGTCAATAATCGATTCAAAAACAGCTGATTGTTTATCCGAATCCAAAGTTTTAATTAATAAATTTACGGTAGTACAACCTGAGGCTGAAAATATTTTACGTAGTTTGGATCACAGTCGTGCATATGCCCCTGAAATTACTAATCGTATGATTAAAAATATGGCACAGTCTATTGTTATACCTGTTTGTAAATTAATCTATGAGTCCTTTGAAACGTCAATCTTTCCCGGAATATGGAAAAATAGAGTTATAAATCCACTTTAGAAAAGTGGTGATTCATTAGAACGATCTAATTATCGACCTATAACTTTACTTAAAGTTTTATCTAAAGTGTAAGAGCGTCTAGTTCACAGACAATTGTACAGACACCTCACTAGGAATAAACTTCTCTGTAATTGTCAATCAGGAGTCATAGCTAAGGATAATACTACTTATTTGCTCTTAGATGTAGTAAATAAAATAAATTCAGGTATGATAGAAAATAAAGTGGTACGTAGTGCGCTTTTAGATTTTAGAAAGGCATTTGATAACGTGAATCGTCAATGTCTTTTACTAAAATTATATAAAAAAGAAGTTCGAGGTCGTGCATTACAATGGATCGCAGATTACTTAAAAGACAGAACTATTCAAACTGTGTTAGATGGCTGTATCTCTTCTAAACGATCTGTAACAAAGGGAGTGCCTCAGGGTTCTATTTTGGGACCTCTCCTTTTTCTTATTTACATTGATGATCTGCCTTTCGAAAGTACTCTAAAGCTGTTTGCGGACGACTTAACTTTATTAAATCACCACCCTGATCCATTAATTTGTACGCAGATATTAAACAATGATTTAGTTGAGATTCAGGAATGATCAGAAAAATGGTATTTACCTTTAAATCCCTTGAAATATGAGTCTATAACATTTTCTACGAGACAAAATCGGAAAAATGTTTCTTCTCTCCCACCACTTCTTCTGTATAATTCGCCGATAGAAGAAAAGAAAGAAGTAAAGTATTTAGGCTTAATGTTTACTAATGATTTAACATGAACTACCCATATAAATACAGTTTATTTTAAAACATCTTCGATAGTGGGATTGATGAAATATTATAAACATGTATTGTATAGAAATGCACTTGAAATTATCTATAAATCATGTGTTTTGTCAATTCTGAACTATGATTGTATTATTTACTCCTTAACTACTGCGGCTAACTTGAATAAATTAGAAAGTGTACAATATAGAGCAGCAATTGCAACTGTAGGTGCGATGAAAGGAACATCAAGAGAGAAAGTGTACGGAATATTAGGGTGGTTCTCTTTGAAAGATCATTTCCGAATTTTACGACTATTAACATTTTCTAAAATCATGAAAGAACTTACGCCTGGTTATTTGTCTGTGCATTTACATATTCGTCAACCAAATGAAAGATATAATCTACGTAGTGATCGAAATACAACTATAGAAACAGTGAATAATACTTCTAAAGAATTTTTTGTAGTAGTAACTGAAGAATGAAATAGACTAGTATTAAAAGATCCTCGAGTTTTGAGAATGAAAATTGCTATAGTGAGAGTAATATTAAAAATGAGGTAACTCCAACTGGAAAATTTTCTAAACGTTTAAAGTTTGCCATACACCATATTTAGAGAAATCTATTAGAACAGAAACTGAATTTTTTAAATGGAATTACACTAGATACTTTTCTACTAAATAAATTACAGTTGAATGAGGACACGCAGTGTACTGTTTTGGATGCGGTCAACTGCTATATAAGTGGAACGAAGAGATTTGAAAACTAGCTGCACTTTATTTTATAATTTTATCATTTTTTTAGAGTGTCAGTCACCACCACTTCGTCCGACCTGGCTCATTATCACCTAAAATCTTCCTTTTTCTCCTACTTTCTTTTTGCTGTTGTTCATTATATTATCTATCTGTATTTTATTTTACTCTTCCATACTCTAGTATTCAGAGCTAGGCCTATAATGATTTTATCGCAGGCCTTATCTGAAAAGAATCAATAAAGATATAAACAAAAAAAAACAAACATCTGGTTTCATTTTAAAGTTTTAATTTAGTGTTCCGTGGTATGCTAAATATTTGTTGGACAATTCTGAAATAATTGCACTCGCAGGGGGCAACTCACCCTCAACTGTCAGTTGCTATAACAGGGATAAAACGTATAATAAGAATATGTGTTGTCTCCCCATAAGTGCAATTATGCCAGAAGTGTCCAATGAATATTTAACATACAACGAAACAGAGAACAAAAAGAAGAATTGATATCTGTTTAAGTAAATAGAATGATTATTTTGGCAACATCATCATAATATAAAACAAAGGCAGAAAAAGGTGAGTAAGAGTGAAAATGTAACTTTTGCATCATTATATTTCAATATTTCACAACAGTTATCGCAAAAAGAGCAAGTAATTATCATATTCTCATTTAATTGCCTGATTTTCATTGCGAAAAAAATCAGTCTTGTTTTCTCTCGACGACAAAAATTCTCGCATCTGTTAAGTAATTCTTATATCGATATCAAATAAAATCAGATGTTGTTCAAGTCATCTACAAAATTTGACCAGACATATGAGCGACCAAAACGTCTTGTTTTGTTTAAAGCTGAAGGTTGAGATTGACTTCTTCCAAATACATTCGTCTAGCAGCTGTCTTATCAAGTCAACATATTGATGAACCTCTACATCGTTTTTTTTTACTGTCTTTGTTCTAAGATTATATCATTATATTATCAGCAGGATGCCAAAATTCCGATTACCAAAATGTCAATGTTCATGTTCAAAAGATAATTTGAAAGAACAATTATTATTAATATTGACGATTGTATCTGTTGTATTGGCTATAGGAATTGGTATTGCATTGAGAGAAATAAAGTGTGAAACAGGTAATGTTTAGATAGGAGGTACTCTTCTCTATAGTATGTGCCTCTTTTGCTGTCTATCTACAGACGAACGAATAAATGGCTGTCGTATTACACCGGAAGATATAACATATATTGATTTTCCCGGTCAACTATTCATAAATGTGTTAAAAATGTTAATTTTACCATTAATTGTATCATCAATTATTTCAGCATTGGCGCAACTGGATGCACAAACAGCCGGGAAAATGTAATGAGAATCATTTACAGTCTCCATTAGAATTCTGAAGATAAACCCTACAGTCATTTGCTCGTTGTTAAGGCAACTGCTGTAGACTGAAACTAGCTAATACAAATAACGTTTCTGACAAATGCTTTTTTTCTTTAAGTGGTGTACGAGCAATAGTCTATTATTTCGCAACAACAATAATTGCTGCCATTATTGGTATTATACTTGTATTAACAATACGCCCGGGATCAAGGGGCGCAGCGCCTACGATTGATTCAAAAGCAAAAGCAGCCGAAGGTCGAATAGCTGATACTATCTTAGATTTGTTCAGGTAAAAACTATAAAACCAAGCAGCGGACAGATCGAGTATGTAATACAGTATTAGATTTTCTATTCCGTAACGAAAACAGGTTCGTTCGAAAAGGATTTTCTAAAAAACTGCTTATACAGTCTATCTAATATCGAGTATCTCTAAGGTTTAGTTTATACGCGGCAGAATTTTCGCAATTCCAGAAGAGAGATTGAGTACCCCTCAAACTTACTGTAAAAATACATGCTACACAGAAACTCCAGTTGCGACTTTGTCTCGTTGTTGTGGTATAGATGGTAACGATTACGCTTCTTACAGAAGATTAGAAACATTGTCTTTGTTTCAGGAATCTTTTTCCAGACAATATAGTTGAAGCAACATTTCGTTCGGCAAGTTTAACAATCAATTCTCATTTTTTTCTGTTTAAATATTAAGAAAGACTTCGCGACTCAATCGAGCATCGCTTCAGAGATCAGTGGAATAGGCAAAATTGCCCCCCACTTTTTATGATCCTGTTTAGGATTCCCGACAAGGGGGGGGGGGCAGGGGGTGCTGGCCCCTCCCTAAAAAGTCTTTTGGACTTTCTGCTAAAATTTTTGATGTTTTTCCACCAGCAACTTTCTGCCAGAAAATTTCGAAGACTTTTTTTTCGTCAGCCACTTTCTGCGAAGCAAAGTTTTTAGCCCCTCTCATCCCTAAGAACAATCGAAAACCCTGATCCCATTCGATTCTATGATTAAAACTGGGGTTATGAAAAAATTTGTAGACCGCCCGAACTTAATTTGACTGCGATATGAATTTTCAAAGTAAAGGGTGTCAAGGATTTTCAAAAAAGTAGGTATCGCCAGCATTTTGCGTGTAGCTCAGTCAAATTCGATCTTCTCTGTTCGAGCAAAATCTCATTCAAAAGCCCGATAGAAACTAAAGATAATGGCTCATTTATTTTTGTTCCACTATTGAGTTTTCCTAGAAAACAATTGGGTTTTCTCAAATTTTCTATTTTACGAAACGCAGCTAATTTTCGTCAAAAGTTAATTTTGAACCAGAAAAAGGTTCCTAGCAGGATTCTCTTATCCCGCATTTTGTGGAGCGACTGATCCTCTACAAGATGGACTGATCAATTTGAAAATAAAAGTTTTGGAACATGGCGTTATTTGGGAAACAAGATGGCCTGACTACGACGGTTTTTCCATTATTTTCCACCTTTCTTAGTCCAAATCTAAGTTAAAATGAAAAACAAGGTGGTATCTGGAATCAGCGCGAAAAGTTGCATCTGCTGATGTGTATTTCAAGCATTTTGGAGAATTTTAAATTTCTTCGCTTTTTTTATTTAAATTTTTCGCATTTTTTACCAACAGACTGAAGGTCTCCAAAATGCTTGAAGTGTATGTGATCAGATGCAGTTTTTCACGCTGATTCCGAATATCACCTTATTTTCCATATTAACTTAGATCTAGGCTTAGAAATTTCAAAAATACTGGAAAAACCTGGAAAAGTAGTAGTAATTAGCCCATCTCATTTTCACATTTCGCCATGTTTCGAAACTTTACTTTCAAATTATCTATTGCATTTTGTAGAGGAACAGATGCTCTACAAAATGTACGATAAGAAAATGCTGCTAGAAACCGTTTTCTGGTTCAAAATTAATGGTGTTTTAAAAAATGGAAAATTTCGGAAAACTCAGGTGTTTTTAGGAAACCTGAATTATGTATCAAAACTAAACGAGATATCCTCTTCAGTTTTATCAAGCTTTTTCAGAAATCCTCGATAGTGCTCATTTTGTAAATTCTATTACTCAGTCAAATTAAGTTCGAAAGGATTAAAGATTTTTTGATAACCCCACTTTTGATCATAGAATCCAAAAATTATGAAAAAAATACAGGTTAATTTTGACCATTCCACTACATTTCTCGATGGGCTCGTAAGGCTCTCTTAACGACAAATTGTTATTCTTTTTATAGTCAGCGACAGACACGAAAGTAAATGAGACAATCGATAGTGCAAATGTAACAAGAAAAGTCTATAGTGTTCAACCGACAAAAAAAGATAACATAAATGTACTAGGTTTATTAATATTCTGCATATTTTTTGGTATTATCATTAGTCGTTTGAAAGAAAAGGCAGATGTATTAAAAAGATTTTTCGAGGCTTTATTGGAAGTTGTTATGCAATTGATACGATTAGCAATGCTGTAGGTGTGCAAGTGAAAACTAAATAAAACTATTTTGATACTGCTCTTTATATATCTTCAGATACAGTCCAATTGGTATATTTTTCTTAATTGTTGCCAAATTACTTGAGATGCCAGATTTGGCTGCATTTGCCGGCTCATTGGGGCTTTACATGGCTACAGTGCTCACTGGTTTAGTGGTACACGGTTTTATTGTTTTACCATTGATAATGCTTATTATAACCAGACGTAATATATTTCGATACACATTAAATATGAGTCAAGCATTATTAACAGCATTTGGTACTGGATCGAGGTAAAAGAAGTCATACAACACCCTTCTGCTTGTTACGTTCTTGTTAAGGTACAAGAGAGAATTTCATGAGCCTTATTATTTTTCACTTGGTGAGTGCTAGACAACATCCATCAAATTTTTAATTATTCTTTGCATGAACATGAGGGTGTTGGTTAACTTTTCTCCGAACCAGTAGTTGATGTGACCGTAGCACCGGCGATAAAGATTAAATAAAACGAAATCAACCGTTTGTTTGATATCGTTTTATCTTCTGTGTTGAGTTGTCGTTGTTTCAGTACATTTGAAGGCATTAGTAGAGATGTACTGACACGATCTCTTGGATCTCTGTAATGTTCGCAGTAGCTTACTTGTGTTCTTGCTGTTATTCTCTTTAGTTCTGCCACGCTTCCTGTTACATATCGTTGTGTCGAAGAAAAAAATCATATTGATCAAAGAGTATCCAGATTTGTTTTGCCTATCGGGGCTACCGTTAACGTAATTTTAGTCTGGTAACTAAACTACACCCGTTATCGTTGCTTTCTTTTTAATCATATAGATGGATGGCACAGCTTTATATGAAGCAGTTGCTGCTATTTATATTGCACAACTGAACAACGTGCCACTTAATGCTGCTAAAGTAATAATAACAAGGTACGGAAGTCAAATATATTTCAACTTGAAGACTGGAGTTCGGAATCATACTTTTCCTTTGCATTATCCCATATCGTTACGTGCATCCATCAGTCGTATACAATAAATGAAATGATTCGAGAGCCAAAACTGCTTAAACGCGACATCTTAGCAGTACGTTAGGTTTTTAATCTAAATGATGAAAGAATATCAGGAATTCTGGTATCCTAGATCTTGTTCGACCTAACCGTAATTCTATACCGTTTGTCCAATTTGGTCTCTATAGATGCCCTGGGATGTTGTCCTGAACATTGACTTGTTCTTCATTGGAGATTAATGCGATTTCTTTTTTTTGTTTAGTTTAACAGCAACGCTGGCATCTGTCGGAGCTGCCAGTATCCCACAAGCTGGTCTTGTCACAATGGTTATTGTTTTAAATGCTTTAGGTTTACCTAGTGATGATGTAAAACTAATATTTGCTGTCGACTGGCTATTAGATCGATTTCGTACAGCAATTAATGTATTTGGTGATGCTGTTGGTTGTGGTGTTGTACAACATTTATCACGAAAAGAATTGGAAGCATTAAATAATGACGATAAGCTTGAAGAAAGTACTGCTGTTATAACTGCACTAGTTGATCCCAAAAACGACGATAATACACCTCCACCGGATGATACAGTAACAGAAACACAAAGATCAACACCAGGGAGTGGTCATTATAAACATCACGAAACATCTGTACCTGATGATACAGTAACAGGAACAAGAACATCAACACCAGGGAGTGGTCATTATAAACATCACGAAACATCTGTACCTGATGATACAGTAACAGAAACAAGAACATCAACACCAAGGAGTGGTCGTTATAAACATCACGAAACATCTGTACCTGATGATACAGTAACAGAAACAAGAACATCAACACCAAGGAGTGGTCGTTATAAACATCACGAAACATCTGTACCTGATAATACAGTAACAGAAATAAGAACATCAAAACCACGTCGTCATTATAAACAGCCCAAAACACATGATAATCCAGCATTTGATGAAAGTTAAGGATTATCTCCAATTGAAACTTGAATTGTGTGTAAGACATCTACCTACCATTGCAGAGTACATGCACCTTAGTTGCGTTTTATCACGTATACGAATTTGATTGAATAGAGTTAAAACCTTTTGTATTCTTTTGTTTCTGTTTAACTCAATTATTCAGGCAGATATTTTTTTATCTCTATTCATCATCTTGTTCTGTTTTTAATTTTCTTTGTCGTGTTTGATTCGGTGTTCATATATCGTCTATGAGGAGTCAATCAATAGTTGGGAAACACACGGAGAAAAGAAAAGATTTTCCTTGAAATATATTTCCATAAAAATAATATTATTTCTGCGGGAGAACGATTCTGCGATGCATCGCTGGTTTCCTGCACGCTCATTTGTTTTCACTGGAATATCTTACTAATAATGTCACACAAACTGATGAATTTAGCATAGAAAAAGATTCCGATAAATGGTATGGAAGAACATCGGTGAATACGAATATCAATCTCGAAGCAACAGGAAAATATTTAACTAAAGACAATAACCGCAGCGCAAACTTCGTCATCTGCAATGGATTAAATATAGAACAAGGACAAGTTCAAAAAATTGTCGTAAGTGAAAGATTATCTTTCAATGTAAATTATCTTTGGATCTTATGGTATTGTAAGGTGCACGAAATTCGAAGTTTCCCCACCATTTTATTTTTAATTCAAACACACACAGCTGAATAGTCCGGCAGTCAAGGACCACGAATATGTCCCTTTAAACCTCTCTAGCCGACTTCTTCATGGAGAAAATTTCAAACTCTTGTGAGGTGCTCTTTTTTTGAAAAAGCACAACTTTTCAAAACAAAATGCAATATCTCAATCCTCGAGAACTTCGGAAGGCCCACGAATGGATATTCGGAATCAACGGGAAAAACTGAATACAGAACACTACCTTTTACGATTTCAACCCAACACTCCGATTTTGGGCGAAATTTTTTATAAAAGGGTCTCAAACTGCGAGGGTGTCATCTTGCAAACCTATCTTGTCCTTAGGGTTAGAAGATAAAGCCTTCGTTCTTATGCCATTGGGAGCGTCTTGACACGGAGAATAAAAGTACGTTCTCTGTTTTTCAAATTTTTTTCGTTGCTGAGAAAAGTGGACTCTACTGAGAAAAATCGAGATTTTGACCCTAATTCGCAGTTTTCTCCATCCGAATTTAACTTTCACGCAATGAAAGTATCATATTCGGAATCAGCGTCAAAATCGAGTCCAATGATATATATTTCAAAATTTTTCGTTGATTTTCATTTTTTGATGAAAATCTCGGTAATTCTTCGACGCGAAATTCAAAAACATTAGTAATTGGATCAGATAAAAAAAGTACATCATTCGACTCGATTTTTGACGCTGATTCCGAATATGATATTTTCGTTGCGTGAAAGTTAAGTTCTGATGGACAAAGCTGCAAATTAAGGTTAGAATTTCGATTTTTCCCAGTAGAGTCCACTTGTCTCAGCAACGAAAAGAAATTTGAAAAACAGAGAACGTACTTTTATTCTCCGTGTCAAGACGCTTCCAATGGCATAAGAACGAAGACTCTATCTTTAAACCCCAAGGACGAGATAGGTTTACAAGATGTCCCCCCCCCCCTGTGAGTGCGTTGTCTAGTGCCCTATATATTCCAACTCACAAAACAGTCCCAGTTCAGAATCCCTACAAATCAACAATTTATTACCAACGAATTACTAATACAAATAATTTTAACAATAACGAAAGTCTGTTTTTCTTCAGTTAATGGAGAACAGTAATAATTGAAATTATTGCAGTATAAGAAGCACAGTTAGAACGAAAATACTAAATTATATTTTGTATATAAGAGAAATTATTTAGCTTGAATGAGAATCGATTTAAGAAGATGTAATGTAGAATTGAGCTCCTCCTTCTCTGAATGTGAGAGAAGAAGAAGTGGTTTGAATCTAAGGATTAATTAGAAGAATTCTCTCTCTATAAATGTGAGAGAGTGAGAAGAAGGAGATAAGAGATGTTACTTCTAAGTTGAAAAGTGACAAAAATGAATGTAGTTTTAAATTTACTTCTGATTACAACTCGTTTTTCATGTAACTGAGAAACGGGGCATATAGTATTGATAAAATAAATTATTAATTAATATTTTTAATATTCATTCTTATTTTCTCTCTCTCAAAAACCCACCAACAAAATAACTAAAGAAAAATCTTGAAATAAGTAGAACGAAACAAAGCAATAATCGAACGCTCTCTTTCTTAAAAACTTCCAAACAAAAATAGAAAAATCGCGAAAGAACATATTCGTGATCCTTGGCTTCTGGACTATCCAACTATGTGTGTTTGTGTAAAAATAAAATGGTGTGGAAACTTCGCATTACGTGCATCGTACGTGAGAAATACTTTCGCGATTAAAAAGTTGAATCGAAATATTATCGACCGTGCCGTCTATGCCTCTACCAGTAGTTTTTGTCATGTTCGCCTGACGATGATATAACGACTGAGTCGCATGATCATTTCCGTTACATTTCGATAGATTAATCGTGTCGAATACTGAAATGAAACCATCGCATTGTCATTTTAGCCTTCTGAAACCCCAAGCCACACTGATAGAGAACATATAACGTTTCCGCTATTAATTGCCAAAACATGCGCAGTTAAACCGATTATTTGAGTCATGTTATGAGCTCGACGTAAAGAACGTTCGGTATTCGACACTCACTTTCGATCAAGTCTGTGTCGCCTTTTCGCTTAGCTTCTTCCTGTCCATATAGAAGATGTTCGTTGAACGTTTCCTTACTTGTTCATAGTTGAACACCATAAAAGAAATAACACCGTTGGTTGCTGAAAGTATAATTAGTCTTAAAACTATCATTTCCATAATAAACACAGACCTTTTGTAGGTTCGGGGTGGTGAATAATTGATCTGTATTGGGGTTGGAATATGACATTTGGCTTATTAGACTAGTGTATAATTTTTGCTTTGAAATGTGTTATTCTAATAGCCGAAAACTCATCGTCATCTCAGTATTTAAATATTAGGATTGAAATGGAGGTAAACCCAATGGGTCCTTTCTGTCTGACCGTTCCTTATCACCTTTACTTTTCTTTTCTTTTCCTTTTCAGAAAGCTCGACGAGTTGACAACTCGCGTAATTCTATCACCTCAAACGATTCCATTCCACGACAACATCGCCAAATTCTCTTTCTCACCGAATGGAAAAACAATGTGGGAGAGTCGGCAAGCATGAACTACGTGTACACTTATCAACATAATCGAAGTAGAACAGAAACTGTACCAAGATTGTTATCATATACAGATTTCCATCAACGCAGAGTTCCCGCGGAAAAGATAATCTAATTTTTACTTGCCCCAATGAAGATGACAGTTTTTTTGAAAGTTTGATCATAGCGGCACAATAGTAATATGTCATTTTCTGACAAGTAGTCTGGATTTTATTTGTTACACTAGTCTATAATACTCGCAATAACTATCAATCGTATGGTAGACACGCTTTTCCATCAGGTTATTACAAATACCGAAAATAAATATCAGTTGAACTCTGTAACAGTTTAGTGACTTGGCTTATAAGAATCAATGGCCAAGGGGTGGGGGTGGGCACTGAACAGCATCTCAATATTTTTTCGATCATTAATTGGAATCGACACATCCAAAATCGTGTTACAAAATGAATTATCCGAACTTT